GGTCTTTCCTTTGCAATCCTGGCCACATCTGAAATGCCCCTGTTTATCTTGCATTATGCATCACCTGCCTGTCTCCCCCTTCCCCACCCCGCAGGCTTCTATAAGGGCAGAGGTCTTGCTCCCCAGTGTTACCTCAGCCCTTAGCTCCAGCGCATGCGTGAATACATTAATGAAGGGTAATGGCCATATTGTCCTCCCTATTAGTGGGCCATGACAAAATGCAAAAGAGTCTGTTGTATGCGTGGATAATCTAGGAGCAAGTAACAGTGGCTGAGGGAGAAGTCACAGCTCTGCCACTTAATCACGGTGAGAAGTTGGACCAGCTTAAAGGCTCTAGGCCTCAGTTCCTCAAATGTGGGGGATCTCAAAAATTCAGTCACTTAAAATGTGGGGCCTGAGGGAGCCTGCTCAGCTGACCATGGACTCAAGAGTCCCAATGCCCCACCTAAATCCTTCCTGGAACTGGCTGTGGTCGGTGGCTCCACTCTGCCTTAGACATCGGTGGGAACGACTCTGGGCTCTGGGACCGGCTGGGATTCCCGACAGTGACAGCAGTCTCCCAGCTGGGAGTTTAATCCACAGTGACTGGGCAAGGACACTGGAATGCAGAGAAAGGGAATTGCCTCCCTGCAGAACAGAAGAACCTAAGTTGGCCCCATTCTCAAATGGGGTTGGCTCAAGAATAGGGCCAATGGGGTGTCCTGTTTTTAACTGAATTAATGATATCATAGGGTTTTATGCTACCTATCTGTCTTACGGAGCTATTTCTGAGGATCAAATGAGAGAAAGAGTTGAAAATGTTTTATAGAGCACAGAGCATCATTCTACTGGAAAGAATTACTAGTTTTACAACCACTGAAGTTGCTGTTAAACAGCAGGTCACCCAGGAATTCATGTTTCCCTGGGGAGGGGCAGTAAATTTGTTGACCCTCCAACTGCTCACCGCAGTCAGACTTTGAAGACATGAGCCATGACCTCAGCCTGGTTTCCATGAAGGTTGCATGGACCACCCCAATGCACTCAATTATAATAGAAGACTTCGCGTTATCTTTTTAAATGCCAATGGTGGATACACACTTGCTTTAGTACAGGGTTTCTCAACCTCAGCACTATTCCATTTTGGCGAGATAACTCTTTGTTATAGGGGCTGCCCCATGCATTCCAGGATGTTTAGCAGTATCACTGGTGATGTGTGACCCCTTCCTCCTTTTTTAAAGCCAGCACTGTAGCATCTTCCTTCCTCACTGGCCTCTGCTTCCATCCTTGTATATTCTCTTTCTGACTCTGATCTTCCCATCTCCCTCTTATAATTATGATTACACTGGGCTCACATGGACAGTCTGGGATAATCTCCCCATCTTGAGATCCTTAACTTCAGGGACATCTTCAAAGTCCCTTTGCCATGTAAGGTAACATATTCACAGGTTCCAGGGACTATGACTTGGACATCTTTGTGGGCCATTTATTCAGCCTGCTACAGTCTACCCTCTGGCCCCCAGTGCTTCATGTCCATCCCATATATTCATCCCATCCCAAGGTCCCCAAAAGTTTTGACCCATTATAGTATCAACTCAAGTCCAGAATATCATCTAAGCCTCATCAGCTCAAAAACCCAATTCTCATCATTGAAATCATCTAAATTAGTTATGTGTGAGACTCTGGGTATGATCTATCTTGGGGCAACGTTCCTCTCCATCTGTGGACTTGTAAAACTAAAAAAGGAAAAAGTTATCTGCTCCCCAGTTCAGTGGTGGATCATGCCATAGGATAAAAGTTACAGCCATTCTCATCTGAAAGGGGGGAAATGAAAGAAAAAAAGGACTCACCAAAGTCAAGCGATTTCAAAACTCCATGAGCTTTCAAGGCCTGTGAACAATTCTCTACAGCTCAGGGCTCCACTCTCTTGGCCCCGAAGAAGAAGCCTCATCTTTGGAGTCATTCTTCCTTTTTCAGGAAGTAGCATGTGTCTGCAGATGAGTAGTTTTATCCTTCCTGTAGAATTTTTGGGAGTCTGACAGCCTTCTTTCATTTTATTATTTCTCCCATGCAGTCCAAGCTGGCAGTGTTTCTGCCGGTATGACATTCTCAAAAATCATATGGGACTCCTATGTATGTCTCTAGGATTCACTCCATTAGACAAGAGGCTCCTCTGCAAATCTTTCCTGGAAAATCCCATCTCCATTCCTGGCCTCTGAGATGTCTAAGGGGATCTATGAGTCACATGTCTAATCTCTTCAAAGAGCCCTCTGTATGATGGAATACTCTGAACTTTGGATCCTCCTGGTACTAGCAAAAGGTTGACCAGCCATTCCCTTGGTTTTCTCTCCACAGCACACTTTCCTGACAGCGAATCTCCTAATTTTAGCATCTTTTGCAATCTGGATAGGCTGAAAATTTTCCAAATCGTCAAGTCCTAGTTCCTTTTTCCTTAACAGTTCTTCTCTCAGTCTGTCTCTTTCCTCTCACATTTTAATCTAAGCAGCAAGAAAAAAACCAGACAGAACCTTCAACACTTTGTTTGGCAATCTCCTGAGCTAAATATCCAAGTTCATCGTTTCTAAGTTCTGCTTACCATGTAACTTGTAGGACACAATACAGCGAAGATTCTGCTTCTACATAGCAGGATCCCCTCTCCTGCGGTCTTCAACTACATCTACCTCATTTCCTGAGCTCACCAGCAGTGCCTTTAACGTCTACATTTCTATAGATGTAAGTCTGTAAAGGATGATTTCTCTGAGATGATAAAAGTTTTCTGTACAACTGGATCTAACAGTAGAACTTAAACTTCCAGGGGTGCTTTGAATTTGGCTTTGGGCAGACCATTTCACAGGCCGGGGAAGCATATCAGTCAGGTCTCTGTTGGTTGCTCCTCACTTCCTCCTGGGCCCTGACTGGTCCACAGGTTCTGGGGAGTAGGACAGGGACATCTTTGGGGAGCCATTATTCAGCCTACTGCAATAACTATTAAGTTTGTTGGTCAATCATCAAACCTTTATTGATTGCTTCTCATTTTCTCAGAACTATGTTAGATACTACGAGGGCTACAGGGGTAGGATAGCTAGGCTAACCAGACACACTGGTTTGCCCAGACAGTTCCATTTATACTTTTTGTCTCAATGTAAATGTAGTAGTCCCCTTTTTCCCTTTGAGAAGTATCTTGGTTTGGATGATACATTTTCTGGTCACTCTAAGTATAGACCTTAATGCTTAGCCTTAAGGAATCTACAGTCTCATGGAGACAAAAGAAACATGAAAATATTATGGAGCAGTTGTGGTCAAGTGCTAAACATGACACGTAGATGCTGCTAAACATCCCACAATATGCGGGACAGCCCCCAACAACTGTCCATCGGCCATTTTACCATCTGGAACTTAAGGGTCATTTGGAGGCTTTTGGGATTTCATATTCAAAGTGTGGTTCCTGGACCAGCAGCTTCAGGATCGCCTTATTAGAAATGCTAAATCTTTGAGCCCCATCCCAGCGCCCCCCTGAATCCATAGGTGGGACTCCACAAAGTGCTTTAACAAGCCCCGGTGTCATATCGTCTGTGTCTCTGTTACCCCGCCCTGTCATTCATTCTCTCTCTCTGTCTCGGTGGCATCTCAGGCAGGGACAGACACCACAATTAATACTATAAATACCGCTCTGTCCAGAGAGTTGCTCGTTTTTCCCTGACAGCACATGGGTCAAGATGATATTGTTAAATGTTAGTTTGGTGAGAATAGTTCTTTGGTTCAAATGATCTATTTTCAAGTAAGTTTTTCTCAAAGTACCATATTTATTTTTCATCTCTCTTCTTGGCTTTTGGCAGGAGCTGAGAAAAAGCCTAGAACTCAGCGTACATCTACAAAGGAAGCAAAAGGATTGTTCCAGTGACGAGTATGACTCTATTGAAGAAGACGTACTCTCTGAGCCCGAGCCCGAGGACCAGGTGCTGGTGGGCCAGCCCCGAGAGGAGCCTCCTCTCCCCAGTGGGAACTCGGTGCAAAAGGATGTTCCCAAGGACCAGGAGACAGGAGGACGCTCTCCCCAGGGCCCAGACAGCCTTGTGGTCCTGGAATTTAACCCGGCTTCTAAAAGTAAGCTTTGTCTTAGGTGGCATTTATTTGCCTTTAATGTCTCTGGATCTAATAGTAGAACTTAAACTTCTGGTGGTACTTTGAACTTGGCTTTGGGTAGACCACTGCACAGGCCAGGGAAGTCTATCAGTCAGGTCTCTGTTGATTGCAAGAGGCAGAGGCTTCCAAATGACCCTGAAATTCCAGACGGTAAATGTCTGGGCAGATAGTTGTGGGGGCTACCCTGTGCATTGTAAGATGTTTAGCAGCATCTACATGCCAATTGGCTAATACAGAGTAGCTTAAGCTAAAGAGACTCTTTATTGGCTTGAATAACTGAAAAGTCCAAAGCTGTAGCAGGACTCCTTTCCCTTCCCTTCCCTTCCCTTGCTTTCCCTTCTCTTCTCTTCTCTTCCCTTCTCTTCTCTTCTCTTCTCTTTTCTTCTCTTCTCTTCTCTTCTCTTCTCTTCTCTTCTCTTCTCTTCTCTCTCTTCTTCTTTCTTTCCTCCCTCTCATCTCTGCTTTCCATTCTTAGGTAGTCTCTCCAACATACAGATTTAGAATTGCCTTCCTATGAGACGTTGGCTTTGCAACCCCATCAGAAAGTGTTTTTCCTTCCTAAAAACTCCAGCGAAAGTGCCAGACCTGGCTCTCAAACCCACATCGGGTCACATGCTATCTCTGATCTAATCACCGCGGCTCTGATTGGCCAGGTCCAGCCAATAGGACTGAGGAGTGTGGTTATGACCACCCAATCATATGGATGGATAATGCAGGCCAGGTGGTTTCCACAGGAAAATTGAGGTGAGTCTGAAGGAGCAGGAAGGACCCTGGGGAGGCAGAAATAGCAACTGTCTGCTGGAGGATGTTTTCAGAGAAGATTCTGGAAAGTAGCGTGAGCAGAGCAAGTGGTAAGAGACAGGGAGGAGAGAGGAGGGCTTGGGAGGCAGGGAGAGGCCCGCGTGCAGCAGTCCTCCTCCCCTACGCGGGACTCAGGCTGGCTCAGCCTCTGCTTGCACCTCTCTCCATCCCGAGTGCATCCGCACAGCTGGGTGTGCCAGCCAAGGCCACATTTCTGACCCAGAGTGAACCCAAGGAAAGAGAAATGAGGAAATCTGTCAAATCCAGTAGTGATTTAGTTTGCTGGGGCTGCCATAACAAAGCACCACAGACTGGACGGTTTAAGCAACAGACATTTATTGTCTCATCACTTTGGAGGCTAGAAGTTCAAGGTCAAGAGTCCCTTTCTTCTGAGGCCTCTCTCCTTGGCTAATAGATGCCATCTCCTCCCTGTGTCTTCACATTGTCACCCCTCTGTGTGTGTCTGTGTCCTGATCTCCTTTTCTTAGAAGGGGCACCAGTCATAGTGGATTAGGGCCCCCCATAAGAACTCATTTTACCTCAATTACCTCTTCAAAGACCCTCTTCCCAAATATGGTCATATTCAGGGGCGACCGGTGGTTGAGACTTCAACATACGGGTTTGGGTGAGAGGGACACAATTCATCCCGTAACTGACAGCCCTGGAAAACCCACACCAGTGGTTGATGTCTCCGGAGAAGACATCTGTCCATCAAACATGCTGTCACCGCGTTCTCTCTCACCTGCAAACCCTTGCTTGGGCTGTCCCCTCTGTCGGGATGACCACGTTCCCTTTCTTCTCGCCTCTGAACCCTGAAACCTGGCTCCCTGCTTTTCCCTCAAGACTCCACGGAGAGGTTGCTTCTTCCGCAACACCTTCTTTTCACTCCTGCCGTGGCCTCCTCTGTCCTCCTGTCACTTCATCATGGCGCTGGTCTCACTGACCAGAGAGCTGTCTTTCTCTCCCCACGCCCTCCGCACGCATCAGCCTGTGACACTCTGCCAGGGCGCAGGCAGCTCTTCCCCTCCACTGCTTCCCCAGCAAGCAGCGTGCACCTTGCACTTTCCAGCCACTCAGGAAATCTTTGTCAGGTAAGGGAAGGTGTTATGCCACCTGCTAGAGCAGCAAGTGGTCAGGGCTAACGTTAATAACGCTCCCGGGTGACACCAGCTGGGACTGCAGACTGCAGGGCGCGGGGGAAGAGGGCGAGGGAATGATAGGGCTCTACAGAGGTTGTCCGAGCCCTGGCCCTGGAAGAAGTGGGGGTGGGGAGACACGAGAGTCACCCCGGTGTGAAGGACCAGGGCGCAGAACAATTGACCCCGGACACAGTTCCAGAGTGATACTGGGGCGGAAAGCAAAGAGAGAACTTGAATTTCTTGACATTTTATGTTTTTTGCAATTGGATTGCTTGGCCGGCCCTCACCCCGCTGTCTGTGGTGATGTCTGCTGCGAGCAGGCGCTGTCTGCTCTGTCACCTCTCATCTGAGGCTTTGTTTTTTTTACGAAGTTCCATCTCTGTTTACTCATGAGTATACACGTTCAATGATACACTCTCTTGCTCATAATATTTGTAATTTATATAGGTTGTTGTGTCAATGTAGGATAGGAAAAATTCAAGGCAAACGAAGGTATCTTTAGTTGTTTTGATGCATCTCCTATAGAAAATATGAACTATTTTGTTGACTTTTTTTTTTTGTCATAATTGTTCTATCATCTGAGACTGCTTTTTTTTTTTTTTTTTTTCCTGAGACGGAGTCTCGCTTTGTTGCCCAGGCTACAGTGAGTGCTGTGGCATCAGCCTAGCTCACAGCAACCTCAAACTCCCGGGCTCAAGCGATCCTCCTGCCTCAGCCTCCCAAGTAGGTGGAACTACAGGTGCAAGCCACCATGCCCAGCTAATTTTTTGTTTCTGTTTTTAGTTGACTGGCTAATTTTTTCTATTTTTAGTAGAGACAGGGTCTCGCTCTTGCTCAGGCTGGTCTCTAACTCATGAGCTCAAGTGATCCTCCCACCTTGGCCTCCCAGAATGCTAGGATTACAGGCGTGAGCCACCGCACTTGGCCATCTGAGGTTTCTTTAGCCCTGCAGAAGATAGATTCCCACTCAGAGGAGGAGGCAGAGGCCGAGGGGCCTGTTGTAAGGTCTCGTGGGACTGGAGTTCCAAACTAGTCCTGAGCCTTTACTCAAGAATTGCCACCAGTGACCTAAAAAGAAATTCATGGTTCTGGGCTGTCCATTCACTCATTCACTGGGCACCTGTCATGCCCTAGGCACTCTACTGGGACAACACTGGCCCAGTCTCCTGTGGCACCACATTCTAGCAGGGAACACAGACAAGAAGCACAGAAATACATATACAGTCAAGCGTCACCTAACAATGGGGATACGATACAAGAAATACGTTATTAGGCAGTTTCATTGTTGTATGGATACCATAGAGTGCGCTTACGCAAACCTACGTGGGAGAACCTCCTCCTTCGAGGCCACAAACCTGTACAGCATGTCACTGTGCTGAACACTGTAAGCGCTTGTACCACAGTGGTAAGTATTTGTGTATCTCAGCACATCTGAACATAGGAAAAGGACAGTGATATTATAACCTCTGGGACCACTGTCTCATATGCAGTCCATCATTGACCAAAATGTCATTATGACTATACATTAATAATTGCCAACATTTACTGAGTTGTTGTTAACATATGCCAAGCACTATTCCAAGGACCTTCCCTAGAGTCCCTCATTGAATCCTCACCACAACCCCAAGGAAAATAGCTCCATTGTACTGGTTTTACAGATGGGGAAACTGAGGCACAGAAAGGTCAAGAAACTTGCCCAAGGTCACACAGTTAGGAAGGGGCAGACCTGGTCAAAACTCCAGCCATCTTTGAGACCAGAGCCTGAGCTCTTAACCAGTAGGCTAAATAAATAAACCAGAGAGTTATGAAGCAATAGTTGGGCTTTGGGGAGCCAATAAGTAATCCCCTCACGTCCCCTCCAAAGTTGGGAAACATGAGAGATGAGACTCTCAGAGAGAGAGAGAGCCAACGCTCCCTCACAGCGGATAAGGGCCGGATGGTGGCATTCAGCACTGCCCCTCAGAAGCAGCCAGCCTCGGCCCAGGCGTTGGCTGGTGGAAGGGGCTGTGTGCCCTGAGGGAACCCTACCCGCCCCCCAAGAAGGAGAAAGGAAGTGGGGAGGGGCTGGCTCCAGCTTCCATGGCTTTGTGCCCCCGCCCTCTCTGATCCGATCCGCTCCGTCCTCACTGTGAGTACAGGCCGAGTGCCCGGCACGGACAAAGGCAAAAGCTATTTTCCCACTGACTGGCAAAGGGAGAGCCGGTTCATGGGTGAGTTCAGGAATTCAGGAAAGAGGAAAGACTGGTACCCGACAGTCTTAAAGGCTGTCAAGATGCTAAAACAGGATGCTGAGGCTGTGGGAGCAGGGCCCACTTTATCTAGAGTGGTCAGGGAAGCCTTCTCAGGGGAGGAGGTGTTAAAGCTGGGACAGGAATGACAGCAGGACCCAGCAGTGGGCACAGCCTTCGAGGTGCAGGGAGCCACAAGCTCAAAGGGCTGCAGTGAGTCCTGGTGCTCCGGGACCTCTGCTGGCTCCAAGCCCTGGAGCCACGTTCCCCAAACTTGACCCACTTGTAAACCTTCTTCACAGTTTTTTGCCATAATGTCAACCCCCCTGTACTATTTTTCAACTTAGGTAAACCAGTCACCTACCTGCCTAACTTCTTTCCTTCCTTCCTTCCTTCCTCCCTTGCTTCCTTCCTTTCCTTCCTTCCTTCCTTCCTTCCTCCCTTGCTTCCTTCCTTTCCTTCCTTCCTTCCCTCCCTTCCTCCTTTTCTCCCTTTTTCTTTCTTTCATAACTGTAGGTTTGTTCTAAGTAATAATATTTTTGAAATCAAGGGTTTGACATGCTGGCTACATATTTTTTCCTTACACATTAAGATATATAACTGCTTAAAAACCATTTGCCCACCTAGCATCTAGAATCACAGCTCGGCTGTGAGCATCCTGAGGGCAGTGAGTGGGTTTCAATGTGCTCCCTAGACTCAAGGTGGCCTCGGTTGCACCACTGCTTGATGTGGCCTGCCACCAGTTAGCCTCAACACCCCATTGATGGTGACACCTGGCCCCATTCAGAAATGTTAAAATTTGAAAACCTGGGGGTGTCCCAGAATATTTCATTTATTTACCAAAATGTGGTGCTGCGCACAAAGTCTCTCAGCAAACTTGTTCTGCTGTCTGCGTCATTCACATCTCTAGTCCCAAACCAGCAAAGACGTAGAGTAGTCCCATAAATATTTCTTGAATGAATAAGTGAAGGGATAATAAACAAATGCCTGAACAGAATGCCCCGACGCTGCTTGCGCTCGGTGTCCGACAGATAAACAATTGATTTCCTGCAGGTATTAAGAGAGAAAGGAATTTGTCGGCAAAGAGGAAGGACAACGCTGAGGTCTTCATTCCCAGCAAACCCGAGTCAAACCTGAATCCCCAGCCCCCGGCTGTGTTTCCAGACCAGGAGAGGACTTGCTCCAGTAAGAATTCTGGGGGCCCTTGAGCAGGGGAACAGGGCTGGGTCATTCTCAGGGGGTGCCGTGATGGGAGGCTTCGCTCCATTACCCTTCCCCGCCAAGGGCTGAGCTGACCTTTAGCAAATGTATCAGGGTTCTCTGGGGAGACAGAAGCGAGAGGAAGTGTATACATAAAGAGAAAGAGATTATTAGGAGGAATTGGCTCATGCAATTATGGAGGCTGGCAGGTCCAATCTCCAGGGTGTGTCAGCAGCTGGAGACCCAGGAGGGGCTGATACTCCAGTTCAGAGGCTGTCAGGCAGGAAGAGCCTGTGTGCAGGTGAAATTCAAAGGCAGTCTGCTGGAGAAGTCACTCTTACTCGGGGGAGAGGCTGTCTTTTTTTTTTTTTTTTTTTT